GCTCAGTTGAGCTGCTTATTATTAGTTTGATTAAGTACTTTCTCTGATTGAAGACTTACTATAAAGATCGTAGTCTGTGTTCTGCAGCACTAATGGTGCGTTCCATTTCTGTAATTCTGAACTGGGAAAAGGTAGCAGGGACAGAGCTAGACATTTTTTTGAAAGTGGTGGCCAAGGTGTTTTTTTATTTTTATTTTTTTTGGCGGGGGGCACATATCAATAAATAAAACTACCCTGGAGATGAAAATTCAAGATGGCTGCCATTGCTAACTTTAATGGCTTAAATTCAGCTTTTAAAAAAATATATATTGAGCTTAAATTGTAACCCGGCCATGGAGATTTGGAGATAACTGAGTTTGCAGTGACATAAAGAACAGGGAGGGCAGGACGAGGACACTGGCTGCCAGCTCTGAGACTTCATTAATTTGAAGCAAACTTTATGAAAAAAAATCTGTAAGATTGTCCTTTAAAAAAATCAAGTTTTTAAGTAAAATATGTCAACATATTAAAAAAAAACAATAAATAAAAATGACTCTTAGGGGAAAAAAACGTGCAAACAGAACAAGCAACTATATTTCTTGTTTTCCTTGTATTAAAGAGGTACCAAATTATAAAAAAAAAAGTTTTCAAGTAAAACAGATCAGTATATTCACAAAAAATGTGTTGCAATGTAATGCCAACTAAAAAAAGCAACCATATCCATCTTGTGCTCTTCTTGCAGAAAAATTTCTCTCTGACTCTTGTGCCTTATTCTCAACATCTCTTTAATTGCTGCAAATATGTCACCTCCTCTTGTATGTGTTTCCAGTGGTGTTATACCCAGCAGGTCTTCACAGAACTCCTTCCTATCTTTGTGATAAAATCTCATATACACTAAAAGCTGGGCATTATCAGTAACATCTGTGGACTCGTCGATGGCCATAGACATACATGATGAACTCTGAATTGCAGCATCAAGCTGTGCCAGTACATCATTTGCTGATATTTCTGATTTTCTAGTTGCTGTTGAAGTTGACATCAGGATTTGTTTGATTTTTTTCACACGCATCATCTTTTTGTTCTCCATCAAATAATGTCCTGATGCATCTCGGTAATCCAGGTAGAAAAAATCAAAAAGAAAAAATAAGTGGGTCCTCTGGATGGGTTCTTTAGTGAAACGTTTCATCTCTCCTTGTCTCCTTGTCTCTGACTCTCTGGAACTAGTCCCTGTGGAACCTCCTCATCGTCTCCACCCTGCCTCTCTCCAACGCTACCACCTGTGAGAACAACCAGATCCTTATTATACTTACCAACCTGGAAACCATCTTCAGTCCTCCCCTCCATGCCAGCATCCACTCCAAGACGAGATAAAGAGAACTTTCAATAACATCTTACTTCTCAACAGAATTTTTAATAAACCCARYCCTYACCTTTACAGCAAATCCTGGATTGTCATTACTGTAAATACTGTAAACTCACTTACCTTTTTACTRCCTGTGTCAGTCCAGTTRCTCAACAAAACTAAACCTGATAGTAACTCTGTGGCCGTGGCGCTACRTACCTTGTGGGAGATGGGTTATGCAAAGGTCAATGACTGGGAGGCTACTTCAGAATTTATTGAGGTAATACAGCAAGAGATTTGCATCASTGACCAAAGTAATTTTACTGGGTGGCTGTAGAGAGGTCGCCTGTTCGATCCCCTGTTCCAGCCGTTTCAGTCGTGTCCTTGGGCAAGACACTTCACCCGTCTTGTCTACTGGAGGTGGTCAGAGGGTCYGGTGGCGCTGGTGCATGAAAACCTYGCTTCTGTCAGTGTACCCCAGTGCAGCTGTGGCTACAATGTAGCTTACCATCATCAGTTTGTGAATGTGTGTGSGCATGGGTGAATGTCTGTAAATGTAAAGCGCTTTGGGGTCTGGAGGGACTTGATAAAGTGCTATATAAGTTCAGTCCATTTACCATGTTCTTAGCAACGTTTGAGCAATTAATTGCTTTCACTCCTTTTAATCCTTCCTATTCCAATTTTATCATGTCATCACGTGAGCCGTTCACATTTTTCACAAAAACATTTAAACACTAGATTTGAATGTCTTTATATTTTAAAATAATTTTTGTTATAAATTAATAACCATAGATTGTACAAACACCAAAAGACCTTCCCATCATCACGAGTGAGCTTTACAAGCTTTACAATTGCAAATTATAATGGTTGCATTGGGATGAACTATGTAGGAGGAGATTTACAGACAAAAACAGGAAGGTTGAATGTGAAAAAAAAATATTAAAGAGAAACAGAATCACAAGTGTGCTTGAATGCAAGCCCCATACATGTCTTGGTGAAACCACTATTGGAGTAAATACTGTATGTGTGCATTTAAAACTGAGCAGAAAGGAAATCAACTGTCTATTTTTGATGTATATTGCACCAGGGTCCAAGAGTTACAAAAAATACAATTCTGTGTATGTCCTGTACATTATGCAGATCAATCTACTTTGACCTGATTGTTGACTACTGAAAATATGAACCATAGTTTTTATTAATAAATATGTTTGTTATGAAATTTTGTACATCAAAATATAATGGGCCTCATGCAAGAACCGTTCGTACACACAGATTTGTTCTTAA